GACATACCAAAATTTTTCGGAACATCATACAAATTTTCCAGACATCACAAAATTGAACACAAAATTGACAGAATTTCCCACAAAATTCACAGAATTTGTCCCATTTATTTTTATAATAAGCCAATATTGCCCGACTGTGGAGCGAATATTGCCCGACTGGCTTTGTTTGGCTGCCGCCCCCCCCCCCTCCCGCTCGGTACGCCCATGCCTTCGGCTCGAGTTTGTATATCAGATGCAGATCGGCTGCTCATATTTTATCTATAGTACTTGTGAAATTCATTAATAATTCATTGCAAAAAATTCAAAAGAAATCCGTGGTGTGAAGGAGTTTGTTTTTTTTGATACACAATCATGCTGATTTACATAAACGTTAAGGTGATTAATCAGTAATTGTTTTGGAAATGAGAATTTGCTGACACTTTTTTGTCCGAAAATATGACGGCAATCCTCGTGATTTGTTCGATTGCATGTTAAATACAATATATTGGCCGGCGGTTGACGAAATGTTAGAGAGTGCTCGCACGACATCATGAAATGCAGAGCAAATAGTACTTATTATAGTTTGGATGTTTCATCCAGTGGAGATAGTGTGGAATATGAACTATCTATTCACTAAATGTATCCGCGACGCAAGACCTTGATAAACTATAAATTTAAAAACAGATAACAGATACTGAACAGATATTTAACTCAAGCTTCTCATTTAATTACTAATAGCAAATACTCTCCTACAAATATTGAATGTAACATAACCTCACTTTTTGTAAATACTTAGAACCGATGACAATTTAACTATATATATTATTAGCACCAAGACTTTAAACTAGGGGTCTAAATCCAAAAGCCTGTTCAAGGTTTCTATAGACTCCTAACCCAAATGTATCTACTTTATTTTTTTTTTTTAATATGTAACATAATGGTATATCACATGGGCAAATCATTAAAAAAACCCAAAAAAACAAACTATCCTTATATAACTATCCTTATAACTATCCTTTTTTGGCTAGTAATTCCGGACGAAGGACCTTCGCTCGAAACGTCAAAATTCTCGGCCTTATATTTTTAAGGTAGTTGCATCCCTACCAACGAAAGCTTGTTCATATCCTTATAACTATCCTTATATAGATGCACACAAAGAAATAGGAATATTGCGTTTTATATAATACCTTATTGAATTCTGATCGTTTAATTGGCTGTTTATGGTCACGTGATATTGAATAGAAAATTCCATTTCCCAAGAGTGCAATGGAATACGTTCCTTTGCACTCTTTGCGAGTGCAATTGTACTATACGTGTTATTCCATTGCACTCTTTCGCCTGTATTCTAAAAGCTTACTCACACTCACACTCAATGAGTGGAGGTTCAATCTAAGCTTCTCTTGAGTGTTAATGCTGTTTTTGAATAGCTAGAGGGATAGTGTCATACCTTACTCGGTGACTACTCACCCTCTAGCTGTTCAAAAACAGCACTGAGCTACTTCACTAGAAGCTCAGATTGAACTTCCACTCATTGAGTGTGAGCGTGAGTCAGCTTTTAGAATACGGGCGTTTGTGTTTTCGATAAATCGCATCCGTCAAAATGCTTCTCATACGAACCTATTAGTCTATTTTGGCATTATATAAAACAAATAATGAATGTTTATTCGTGCAATGGCAAGAATATTTTCATTCGGTGAAAGATGGAATGTTCCATTCAACTCGGCTGTCGCCTCGTTGAATGGAACATTCCATCTTTCACCGAATGAAAATATTCTTACCATTGCACTCGTAAACATTCATTATTTGTATATTGTTCGGGCGTACGTCCTGTATAGGGGCAGCTTCCATGCAGCTGATCACCTGTGAAAATTCAATTTTGTGGCACCAATTACGACGAAAAATTCAAATGAGATATGCTTGTATTTCAACACTTGGTTGCGCCTACGGCCTAAAACCTTGCTTTAGTATAAATGATGCACTAAGATGCATTAGTGAAATTTATCACTATAGTTTATTACCATAATTATCGTTTATTTCTAGTAGTTTTTCACAATCGTTTCTTCGCTGTCAGTGTGTAATGCTTTGGAGCGCGGATTGCATTCGACTCACCCTCCAAACTTGGTGTCGGCCCACCTTCTGGTACGTCAAGTGTAAACCTCTGAAGAAGTTTTGCTGCAACAGTGAATACTTCTTGTTTGGCCATCACCGTTCCAATACATACCCTGACACCTGCACCAAACGGGATAAAATCAGGTCGTGCTTCCCATCCTATGAATTTATCATTCTGGTCAAGAAATCTCTCCGGTTTAAAACTCTCGCTATCTTTCCACTCATTTGGATCTGTGTGTATACGCCATAAGTTCACTAGGACCGCTGTATCTTTCGGGATACGATATCCAGCAATAGTTGTATTACGAATCGCTTTGTGCGGCGGTAGGAAAGGTACAAATGCCGAATGACGCATAATCTCACATATTGTCGCCAAAAGATACGGGTAATTCTCTGCATCACGCCAAGTTGGTGAAGAACCGTTCGCTGTGACTTTGTCGATTTCTTTTTGTATCTTTTCTTGGGTGTCTTTGTATAGAATCATATATAACATAAACCAGGTAAGAACTGTTGTACTAGTGTCAGTTCCAGCTAGGATTACATTCAACATTAGAAACATTACGTCGTCGCTTGTTCCTACATCTTTATTTCGATGTTTATCTTTTTCATTATCGTACGCAAGAAGAAGAGCATCGGTTATATCCCTAATTATTCCTTTTTCGTATGTTTGACGATGACTTTTAAGATGTCCGCCAAAAAATTCATCCCTTGTTTGAATAACGTCCTTGAACGTACTCATAAAATCTTTTGAGAGATATTTAAGGAACGGGAAGAATTGAAATATTGTTCCTTGTTTCCCAAGCAGGAGAATATTGCGTCCAAAATCAGCGAGCTTCTTGATAGTGATATCATTAACCGGATATCGTGTTGAAAGAACACGTTCGCATAACATGTTAATTATTAATGCACTTATATGATCATGAATTGAAAATGCTTCCCCGTTTGTTTCTTCAATTCTTTGTAAGAAGCTTTTAATATCCCTTGTAACTTTTTCTTCTGTAACTTTTGTACCTTCCCCGAACAATCGGAGTGCAGATTTGACTATCTTTCGCCGGAATAGAAGTGATGGACTGTAATCAGAGGATGGGATGTCCTTGTTCATAAATATTTCTGTCATTGGAAAGAAGGAAGTCTTTGGACGACCAGCAAAATCATCTTTCTTCGTGACAAGTAAATCCCTTGCGAGTTTGGCACTGTTGACAACAACAAAATTTCCAACTGGAGTAGAAAATGTGTAAACGTCACCATATTTTTTACGAAGATGTTCTAGGGTAAAGGGTGGATCTCGGCCAAGTTGGTGAACATTCCCAATGAAAGGTAATGGATATGGACCTGGGGGCATTCTACTTCGTTCATAGTTTGTAGATAGAAGAAACCACGATAGCCAGACAAGCAAAACTGCAACGGCCACAACAACAAGCTCAAAAATCATCTTGCAATGCTGAAACAAGTTAGAATTTTAGGATTTTTCATAAATGTTCCCCGTATTTACTATAATTACTTCCACGCGGCATAATTTTTAATTTCAGATCATTTAGTTTTTAAATTTATTATATTCATTTTGAAATCAAATACATTAATCTTCTGGCACACGCAACATCTATTAATATACATGCATATATGACATACGAGATATCTATTACCATACATATTAATGTAAAAATATAAAACAACGGTAACTCCAAAAATAAACATTTTTATATTCTAGCTTTCGACTAAGATTCAGTCATCATCAGGAAAATAAAATGTAAACATATTTACACGTAAGAGACTAAGCGTGGCCCAGGTAGTCTTGCTTTGCTCTATGGCTTATGCCTATATATCGTTCATATATAGTACAAGACCCTGCCAGCTTCGAATTGAAGTCTTTGAGGAAGATTGACTTATCAGAACTCAAACAACCGCCTCACACAACATCTGCATACTAGAGAGAACGTTGAACGCACTCGCAGTAAGGATTCATAAAGAGTTTCCGATATGGACCTTCCTAATCTAAATATAAAACCTTCATACAGGCTTGTTGGTGAATTTTCCAAACAAACATATACGCGCTAGGAAAAGCGAAGTAATATTGCACGGATTTCTTATTTTGCAAATGGGAGAAAGATCATCTTTGCAGATCCATGCATGTACGCTTGGCATGTCTACTCTTTTATTTTAGGACGTGTATATATGGTGATTTCTGGAGTAACATACCCCTCAAGTACCACTGCTTTTTATTTAGCCAAAATATGTGGTCGTGGAAAATAAATTATATGAAAAAGCTTGGTCTTACCTTTTAAGATTCCTAGCAATTCGCGGTTATTTTTATTCGATGCTGGGGCCAGTTACAGGAAAGCCGTTTAAGTCGCTATCCGTCGGATAAATTTTAAACGGCGCTCCAGAAATGTGTTGTACGCGGTCCATTTAGCGCTATTCAAACGATCTTTGGACCGTTCAAGTTAAATCGCTATCCGGTATGAGGTGTTGTATATATGACGGATAAACTCAAATTAGTTTGAAGACAAAACAATTTCAGATGAAAGAGGGTGGAATTGTGATAGAAATTCAACAATCCTACTGCTTCTGCCTTAATATGAGTAGTAATAGTTTAAAGTTTAGTGGAATTTACAAGTTTTATAAAGCTACAACGATGTCAGGCGTTAGGCGATCGTCTGATTTCGGCCTTTGGACCAAGTGTTGTAATTGTATACGTTCGGTACAGTCGTGCGGAATGGGTTGGGATAAAACGCGGAACCGGAATGCGGATTCCGTAAGCGGATTCCGGATGCGGATTCCGCATTTGAGGATAAAACGCGGATTCCGCATTTGAGGATAAAACGCGGATTCCGCAAATGAGGATAAAACGCGGAATTGCGTAAAAAAGGACGAGAAGAAGAATAGCGTATAAAAAACTTAAATTATTACTTTTTAAGGTCACAACCACTAAAAAGCGATTGGCTAAAGTTACCTAGTTACCCTAGGCCTAACTGTTGAAGTCATACATGCATGCATTAGTGTTGGGAGGGGGGGGGACTGTGACTTTTTGGACTATTTCTTAAAATTATGGAGGGAGGTGGAAAATCGTATTTATCAAGAGCGTCTTCATTTTTATCTAAGTTTCTTTGTTAATGCTAGTAATATTCGGGCTTTGATGGCGCAGGCGTCAGAGGAAGCGCCTTTCACCTCTGAGATCGTGGGTTCGATTCTCGCTACGGATTCGATGTGAAAAGAGTCAGTCAACGCTCCGCCAAAAGTCGTGAGTTTTCTCCGGGTGCAAATAGAGCAGAAATCAATTCAAAGTAGCTAAAATTACGACTTATACGCAAGACATATAACGCTTGTTGGGAACAGATTAATATGAACTTTGTGTCGGATTACTAGGTGTTTATGCATGGTTTTTGTCGGATTGCTAGGTGTTGTACGCATTGTAATTAAGGTTTCCTTTAATTTAATTGCGTATCAACATTCCTTTAGTAGTTGCCGCCCGGCCATATCCTGCTGCGTTCCAGACTTTAGTTCGAAGTTCGAACGCATAATATGAAAAATATCGGTTAAATATTCAGTTGGACATTTGATCGCTTGCACTCGTTTTGCTAAAACAGAAATTATTTTAGCAAAAGCAGGGTCTGAGGGAAAAAATGGAAATTTGAATTGATTTCTTAATTTCTGCTCTACTTGAATTGATCAAGTTACAAATTGATTCATATAAATACAATCAATAACTACAACCACCGATCATCAAGTTGAATTTTTCAGTTTGTATTGTATGGCGCTAATATGTGACTTGCGCGACAATATTAACACCGTATTATTAAATTGCAATGGAATTTAAATTCGGCTGATATATGGCATCTATCTACCTCGCAAAAAAATCTACCGCAACCCGCATTTTCTACCAAACCCTCACAAAGGTGATTTTCACCCTCGCAAAGGTGATTTTTTTAAGGTGATTTTCCTCCTGAATTATTAATGAGTTTTTTAAAGTAATATAAATTTCGTATAAAAAGTAATTTATATTATTTATAAAGTATTTAGTAAAGTATTTTTTAAAGTAATATTGCGCATCCTATCAGTTCAGTAAAGTGTCCTATGTAGCTAAATGTTTCTTTAGTTTAGTTTTAGAAGTCTTAATTGGAGGTAAACAATGAAGCGTGAATGGCAAAAGCGTTTTGCGTATATGATAACTTGGGTTTTAGTCCATTTATTAGCGCAAACGGTAAACTTGGAAAATCATGATTTTTGATAAAACAAATGCGCTATTACACACTGATGATCAGTATCAGCCGAATTTAAATTCCATTGCAATTTAATAATACGGTGTTAATATTAATTGTCGCGCAAGTCACATATTAGCGCCATACAATACAAACTGAAAAATTCAACTTGATGATCGTGGTTGTAGTTATTGATTGTATTTATATGAATCAATATGAATCAACTTGATCAATTCAAGTAGAGCAGAAATTAAGAAATCAATTCAAATTTTCATTTTTTCCCTCAGACACTGCTTT